CCATCACTGTACCTTGGAAGGAAAGCAAAATATATCTACAAAACAATCTGGGGCAAAACTGCCTTAAACTATAAATACCAAGAACTGCTATGAGGTGGTACCCAGTACGTAACACTGCCCACAGTCAGAAGTTCAGTTTTACCAGTCCCTCAAAGCACTACTTGGATGCGTTTTCATACCACCCTAACTACATGCAAAGCTCACAAGGTAAACACGACAAGCCACTGAAGTTTCATGCTTTTATTCCTGTAATCAGGAGAAATACTGGAAGTTACACAACTGTTTCTGAAAGACAAATAAGAAAGTTCAGAACCTAATCTGAAGTTTAGAGTAAGACACCTGTATTTATCAGATTAATGTTTCCGAAAGAGTTGGGGCAGGAAATGACAGGCTCCTCACCACTGAATGGCAAAACTCCATATAATCACAGAGGACAAGTGGAAGGCAAACGTGAGACAGAAAAGAAGAAAGGAAAAGGCAAGGAAGGAACAGATTGTCCACAACAGATATTGCTGACATATTTTTAAGAACAGATGGCAACTGACAGCGACTTGATACAAGGCACTCAGTTTCCAGAGATTTGGCAGTCCTCAAAACAGCAGAATAGTTTTTACAATAACCTGACTCCAGAGCATATTCTTCCAAGGAAACAATAGGTGAGAAGATATTTCATACACTGCACTGACTGGTTTGAGAGCTGTCAAGACAGAAGGCTGAGAAGTTTTAAGGATTAATATGTGGCAGGAAAACTTTCCGGCATTGAACAGCGAAGACCCTAAATCTGCAGGTCCTGGGGGCCACACAGCAGCCATGCAAATCATCTGCCAACACCAGTGACGGCTCAGTTCAGTCATGTTCATTATAGGAAAAAAAAAAATACACACAAACATATCTACATTCATATATATCTCAAGACATAATAAAGGAGAAAAACCCCAAGCCCTCTGGAGCGTTCAAGAGCCAAAGTATGCTATCAGCAATTGGCTCCAAATTTAATCCAATGCTTTTAGACAGATGGAATTTAAGCAAGAAATTCTGGTGTTTTAGCTCTACCACTTCTGTTTGATTTAAAATAGAAACAACACAAGCAAATCAGTGTTTATTTACTTAAAGACTGATTCTCACTTATTAACTTCAACAACCATAAAAATTACATACAGTTAGTGAATTCAACTGTTTCTGGTCAAGACAAAAAAACCCACAACAAACACACACAAACAGAAAACTATAGACCCCTTTTTTCTCTTTTCTCTAAATAAAAGAGAATGTAACATGACAAAGAACTGCTTTTCAGCTCTCAGTCATTTCCTAAAGGAATTATTGAGATTATTCTAACTCAAATGAAAATATTCCACTGCACTTGCACAAAAAAAGCTACTTCTGTCATGGGCCAGCTCAATGCCTCAATGCATTTTGATTGTCAATGCTTAAAGTAGCTTCCACTGTCTTTTGCTGAAGACATATATAATGGGCAGAGCACTTCATTTTAAATGACTTTATCATAAGAATAAATTAGAGCCAAAAACACTAATATGTAATGCAAATATAGTTTTATTCATTTTAAAAAGAGAGATGTATTTAATTTGAAAGCATATGCCTGTGTATCCACCCTACCTCATACATCTGAATGACTCAGCACTTATCCACAAAAACAGCTGTCATTATTTTAAACCACAACATAATGGGCTATGTCCATTACCAATAAAATGTTTCCAAATAAAGCATCTTGGAAAAATAATCTGTATACTGCAGGCTTCACAGACCTCAAGACAACAGGAAACATCTTCATTTGTGTTTTCTGCAGCCACCCATTTTTTTTTTTTTTTAAGCACACTAAATCCAAAGTTCTGATCAACTCAAGAATTAGGGAAATTTAATTCTTAATTACTGGAAGCTTCACATGGTAAAACTCAGTCTTGCTAATGCAGAGAAGCTGGTCAGACATTGATTGCAAGAATGGAAGGCAATCCTTCCTCAGAGCCTCTCCATAACTGAAACAGCCTGAAGAGAGGATCATTTATTTACACACATTGTAAGGAGGGAGGTAGAAATGTTTTGGGATATAGGAGGCCCCATAGCAAAGAGCTGATGGTTTGATGACAAGAAATTCATCTAAACGTAATATTACTCAGCAGGCAATGTTCACTGCTTTTCACCCAATGACTAACATGCAGAGAATACATCAGCCCACCCACCTTTTCATAATGCCTCTGCCACCACTGAAAATTTATCTTTTTGAAATGAAAATCTGTGAAGCAGACCTTCAGGAATGCACATGGCAACAAACACCAATGCCACACAAGGTGTCCTGCAGTCTGGAAGAGCAGAAGTCACACAGGGGATGACCAGGGAGTGTGTGCATGTCCCCGTGTGGCCATGGAGCCCCGGCGGCAGCGCCTGGGACACCCAGCTCAGGACACCCCAGCGCCCGCCACTCTGCTGACTTGGGCTGAGGCCAGCTGGTCAGGCAAGCCAAGGGCTAAGCACACAGGGGGCAAAAAAGAAAAAACAAAACAAAACAAAAAAAAAAGGGAGTTTCTATAGTGAATGCCATGCAAAAAGACAAACTCCAATAAGGCTAGAACCATGCAAGAGCAAGTCTGACCAGTCCCCTGAGATGCTTCCACTTTTACTGTTTGGTATCTGACAGTTTTACTGCTTTTGTTGTTGATGAGTGGTTCTTGTCAGAAACAGCTTGCTCTGGCATGTTGGTTACATGCAGATATTCTGTAATCCACCTGCCATTAAACTGTCGCGCTTCTATGCAAAGAAGTTGCTCGGCTTGTCCAGAATAAGACATTGCATTTGCCTGACATTTCAGTTTTCATGATCATCTGCTTTCTCACACAAACCAGGATTCCTGCTTATATCAGGCTACATTTGCATCTCTGCATCTAAAAAAAAAATTATCTTGCATCAAGTCACACCTTGCCAATTAAACAGAACTCTGCAAATAGATTAAATATCATTGGCAGGTGGAATAAGTTTACGTCACAGAAAGCAAAACACCACATATTGTGCATTAAAAGGCTTTGTATATATAGCTTTTTTTTATTGTTTGCCTGTGTTAATCAGAAACTTCCAAGTGACCAACATTTATAAAGTAATTTGTTGTTGTTGTTGTTAGGGTAAAGACCTAGCACCACATTTTCAACATTTTCAACAAACCCAAGTGACTGAGCGTCACCAAAATGGGTTAAGATCAAAGAGGTATCAGGATAATAAAATATATTGTAGTAAAGTAATTTCTTAAGAGTAAATTTCATAAGCCACAGTTAAAACAGTTTCTTTACAGGACAATTTTCTAAGGCACATGAGTTTTACTTCAAGCAGCTCAAAAAGACAGATTTACCATCCAAAACCACAGCCATGATCACATCAGACAAAACTCACATAATACACACAAAGATGATATCACGTTATATTACAGTCCTCTTGCCACCTGCCCCAAGGTGTGTCTAACCTACATAAGGAAACTCTTGCAAGACAAAGATTGCATTAAATAGTTGTCTCAATTATTCTTTCAACAGCTGATGTTCAGAAGGCAGCCTTGTTTTTAGGCAGAAGCATTTAATGCACCCACGTGCTAAAGGAAACTTTAAAAGCAGCTGCCTCAGTCAGTTCTGGAACTTTAGAGGAAACAATCAAGGACTACCACGGAGTAAAGAATTTGGGGTATTCCCAAATTCAAAGCAAAGTAATGCAGTACACTACCATGGGATGTATCAGAAGAACTGGCCAAACCTGTACAGCTGCAATGATTCGTAGTTCTCACAACCAGAAGAAAAATGTGCAGGCTGCACCAGCTCAGCAGAACCAAGGGAAGGCTTTATTTTAAATACTATGTCTATCTACTCTAACCAATTTTTATAAAACAGCAAGGCTGTCATTCCACGAGGAATAAAGAAATTGTAAAAGAGAAAAGAAGCAAAGAACCTAGCTCAAGATGACCTAGTTATTTTATAGTCAAAGATTGCACCAAAGACCATGCCCATTAAATGCAGGGTGGTTATTTTGCTTTATAAGGAAAGCAACAAGAAGAAATGAGTGAAATAAGGACATCAGAGCAATCACAGTGCTCTATATTTTGATGGGAATGCACATTTAGCCAGAAGTACCTGATGCAGTTAAAAGTAGTAAGACTGCTTTTGACTGACAAATTAGTTATCAACTGTTAGAAGCACTGAAGGAGCTGCTGTAGTTTAGGATTCCTTTGTATTTGGCGTCTCTATTTGACGCACTGCAAGTGAGTACAGAACTCCAACATCAGTTATGGAAGTGACAAAAACTGTAGGGAAATAAAACAGTGTTGCTGCTACAGCAATGACAATTTCAAGAACATGCGTGGAGATCCTAGCCTAAAAGGAATTTCCAACAAGGAACATACAGGAAAACAAACATGGATGCACAAATCAGATGCAGAGAAGGATAGGGATATACAAACTGTATTAGGACTGCTGTAGACCACTGACATCTAGAGATAGGCAAGAAAAATGCAGAATAAACTGTAGCACAAAACTTTCATATGCAATAATTCCTAATTTATACTTCACAATTCATATTAATTACTTCATTTTTTTCCTTTAGATTTTCCCTTTTGTGCTGCTTGTGATGCACAAGGACCATAAACCGTTTATATACATTAACACAGCAATGGCAGACATCCATGCCATGTGCGCTGATCATGTTTGACTGAAGCATTTACATCCTCGATTATACCGTAGATCTCCCATTCTCTAGTCTTTGATTCTATATTACATATTCAAGTTTAGCCACTCTTCTCCACATGCTTCAGATCTCTAAGGCTAATCAGTGCCGTACAATTGGATCTAGTAGTTGGTATTCTGTCTGACAGCCAGTTAGTGAATGAAACAGTCCACAATTTAGTAAGCTAATGTAAATCAGTCTTAATGGCAATCCCCTCCATGGGCCATCTACATGCTGCTCTGATATAATCACAGATCCCAGGAAAGACAGAATTAGATTGTGCAGCTTCTTACCTGCAGCTCCTTTGAGACTCTCTCTAAGTGGTTAGTTATCTTTTTTATTAGGTCACTATACATCTGTTCCGAATGCTGCTGGCATACACACTTATACACACAACTGCAGAAACAAATATAGGAACAAACAATGAACTTACAACAGTTTGCAATGAAGGGTAACAGACTTCAAAATATTTTGTTCAAGTCTCAATTTAGAGGATAATAGAGTTAACTGAATGATTGCTGAACTTTTAAATACAGCCCTAAGCTTGGAATGAACTCCAGCAGGCTCGTAAGTCTCCCCTGGAGGCCCCAGTGTGTGCATCCCATTCCCCCTCCCCGACCTCACTTTAACTTGCAATGAGTTCTCTTAACAGTGCACTTCAGAAGAGCCAGGATAATTCTGTCAACAGCACACTCCTAATTCTGGCTTTTGTCTCTCCTATGTGAATCAAGCCTCTGTTAAAATAAGCAGGTTTAAGGATTATATGCATATTCTAGGGCAAAACCCTTATTAAAAGAAGGGCAACACTGACAAGCAGTCATAGAAGTTGCACCAAAACCGTGCTAGTGTTTTAAAAGGAAACAGCAAAAGTTCTAAAATTACAGACCCAAGCGTGTTACTCCATCCTTTGTTACTTAAAGTCTAAGAAAACCCTACATTTTCGTAATAAACAAAGATGCAGAGAAAGAGCAACAAAATTTGAATTCTACATTCCATGGCTTGGCTATATTAGCTCTGGTCTTTAGTGTTACCTTTGTTTTTTAAGAACATTTTATTGCTCTCATACTGCAATATAACGTATCTGCAAAATAAGGCTATGTATTGAAAACATATTTACAACAGCTGTAAAACAAATACATATATCATTTTCAGCAAGAAGTTACATTAAGGTAGTCATCATTGCCAGGACTAACACCAACGTTATCTGTACCAAGCAGCTTTTACTCCTCGAGTGCTTGCTTTCTTTGAAGTCAGCATTTTGAAAGCTAGCTGCCAAAACTCAAGAGGCACAAGGAAGACTTCACCCGATATCCCCAGCAAGCCCAAACTCCTCCCCATGCCTCTGTTCCACTCCCCTCTCCCTCCATCCCTCTGCACAGAGTACTGTGACAGCAAGCAGTTTAGGTGACAGACTTCTCCTTAGGACATGCGCAAACAAACTATTTCCAGCAAGGTCTACATCCCAGACTTGGATTCTGCAGGTTTTTAATAGCACTGAAAGCCTAAAGCTATGGTACAGCAACACTGTCTCTGTAAGGGAATTACGACATTCCCATTCTCTACTGAGAAGGTGGTACAATGACAAACAAACTGCAATGGTTGGATTAAAACAGTTGTTTTAACAGTCTACAGTTGTAGACTATGGGCTATTGGGACTTTCTAATGCAAGTGAGAGGTTAGGCACCAACTCCAAGCCTTCAGGGACCAAGACAGTACTCTCATTCAATAACTGCCACTCTCAAAGTCTTCTGGAAGAAGGTTTTACAAGTGAATTATCAGTAAGAGATTTAACATTCCTTTACCTTTCAGAAGTATGTATTTATATCCTTTGACAAGTTCAAAAGCAGCAAAAATATAGCATTCATCCCTGTACAAAGTCTTCTCATTTGGCAAGCCACGTTATTTCTTAAAAACCACAAGACATCCCATACCTCTCCTGCTATTATATTTTGAAAATATTTGATTATCTGTAGTTTGATATTATTTAAATAACAGTCAAAGAAGTCCTGTTTCTATCACATGCAGTCTACAAATAGATCCTATTTTGGAACAAGCAAGTGCAAAAGACATTTTAGTATGATGCAGTAATAGCAAAAATACCGATTTAATTTGGAACAAAGAGAGAAACACTGATAACAAAAGCCAGACTGATTTCTGTGATCTCTTACAAACCAGCCAGCTAGGTTACAACAGCAAATGGCTGTATGTTTGTTTGCTCCATAACTAACCAGTACATAGCCACTTCCACAACTTGACCACTTCATTTGCAATGATGTAACTAAACTGAATTTTAAAGTACACATCTCCTTAGTGTTACATACAATATTGCTATACCTACTTCTGCTACACATTCTGTAGTCAAACACCAATCTTCCAATGTACATGCAGAGTGTGTTTACATTTTGTTTGAACACTTCTATTTCGAGGTTCCTTCCCCATTTTCAGATCCTGTTTTCAGTTCCTGATTGTGGGCTGATTCTGTGAATCATCCTTGCCCTGCTATTACCCAAAAGAAGTCAGCAGCCTGTTAGTCCTTTAGCATAACCAAACACCTTAGGAAAAGGAAGACCCAAGCAGGACACTAGAAGGTAAGCATTTATTGAGAGGGATGAAGACCCGAGATTTGTAAGCTGTCTTGAAGAATAGTGATCTAATTGCGTTGTACTTGGGAGGCAGTTGTACCAGTTGCCAGAAGTACAACTTAGCTGTTCACATTTTCCTCATCTCAAAGTTTCTGTCACATCCCTCTGTCAATATATTTAACCCTTTTAATAGGAAGTGACTACGCACAGGCAGGCGTTGGACTCAAAGATGAAAACAGCCACTACTCACACTTTGATACCTTATGGGTAAACTGATCCATAGTAAATATCTGCATACACACCTCAAGTTATCTCCTAGCTTTCACTGCTGTGGAGTAGACACCTACAGTTATCACTGATCATGTCAAATATAGTAGTTTGGGTATCTAATAATATATTTTGAGTTTGCATTATGGAAACCTCTATTCCTTTAGTCAGCACAAAGACAAACAAAAAAAGACCACTGTATTTTCAGCTCAGTTTCACTGTAAAAAAATATAAAAGCTATGTAGCTGTTTGAACCACTTCAAAAAGCACCCCATTTTCAGACTAAAGAACTAGCCTAGGGAAGCAGAGGGGATCTAAACCTCAAGTCTGCTACAGACTTTCTGTAGCATTCTAGATTATAAGACAAGCAAAGGGACACTCTCTAAAATAAAATAAGTTAAAAAGCCTCTTAGATGGAAGAGGCTGTGTCAGAGTAATTACATCCACAGATACAACTCTTAAAAGAAAACTTAAACTGACACACTAGCTTTATCAGTAACACTAAACTACAGACAATCTTTTGTTTTGGTAAAATACATGCAACAGACATCTGCGCATCATTACAATACTGCATCAAGTGTCACCCTGATGTATAAGGGTTATCTATGAGAAACTTAAAACCCATTATTCCTTTAATAAATAAAACTTTTGAGCAGTAAAAACATTCAAAAGATCAACTGCAGTTATCTGAAAACCATAACTAGGTATAGATCTACTCTAGGTATTAAAGCATTCATTTTGCACACCTACTCTTTATCAGAGATGACCATCAAGAGATGTTGGCTTAACTCTTACTGACAGCTGTTTGCACACTGGGGATGTCACGCAAGGAAAAGGATTTTGATTACTTACACTAAAGCTGCAAAATGTCTCTCAATTCAAATTGACCATCTCAATTATTTATACACATGATAATGCCTGAGTCCTGATAACTGCAGTTTCAAAAGTTTGGAGAGAAAAGAGGAAGTTTATTAAAGTTTTTAAGTGGAGGTGCCATTCTTGGATCTGGTTCCCTAACCCAAAGTTGCAAACTGGAGAGACAAAGTGGCTAAGAGCAAGTGGGCGGGAGACAACAGAGCGGAAAGCCTCTAAAAATGGCAATCAGTGACTGAGCTGCCAGTGTTATTTCATAGAGTGCAACACTATGGTAGAGAAAACCAGGACAGCAGTGCCACTAGTTCTGTTGCTGGCAAAGGCCAGCAGTTTTAACAGCATCTTGGCCAGTAAATGCAGCAGCAGCTATCCAGTTTCCATCCTATTTACCAACACCCTGGATACCTGTCACCTACAGAACAAAAATCTCCATTTTCACCAATCTCCTAAGAAACTGCCAGGTCTCTACAGCATTTAGTATTTTGGTTTAGAGCAGTAGTGTGGTTTTGAAGCAAATCCCCTATCATCCCCACTACTGTGCACTAGTTTAGTCTGCAGGGCAGTTCTGGTGTGTGACTAGATCCCTTTTAAAGCAAAGTAAACAGCAACTCCAGGCCAGGTACAAATCGAATGTTCTCCAGATATGAATGGAGATATAAAGGACTGAACCTTGTGTCAGTCCTTCAGACAGCCTCTAACTGCACATGCAGCCAGATGGCTGGGCAAGGAGGAAATCAGACCTAATCTACCTGATGCAAAACACACAAATGACAGTTTACAGGGATGGACCTCGGCACCAGTTGCTTCTATTTACTTCTGCATCTCTACTGCACCAAATTGGTTCCTATTAGACACGACAAAGAAGCCTTTTGAAACCATAAGTCAAACGCCTACCATGCCAGCCTCTTCTTCCCCTTTGAGGAAAGGGATGTTGAGACTAATACATTTCTTAATATATTACATTAAGCAACTGTGGTAGAGCTTACTTTAATGTTAATGTTTTCAGCACTTACGCATTTTAATTCTTTAGCATGGGATGTCAAGATATGTATCTATTATTCACTCATTCCAACCATTTAAACAATACTGTAGTTCACATAATCTTCCCACTTTCCTCCTCATAAATACAAAATATGACATATACATAGGCTGCAAGATAAAACAAACATTTAACTTTAAAGACAAAAAAAAAGTAATGTAGCACTTAAAAGATTTCCTTACCTGTATATTTGTTCATAGGAGATAGGGATGTAGTCACCAGGACTCTGAGTTAAAAGCTGATCTATGGCACTGTCCAACTTTGGCCAATATGTGCTCCTATAGTCTTCAATTGTTATAACATTCATTACTACAAGAAAAAGACAAAACTACATTTAGTAACTTTAGCTAAAATATTAGAAGCAAGTGAATGCTCTGCAATTTCAGATCACACCAATAGGCTGGCCAAAAGAACTGGGAACTGTTCTTCCGCTATGATAACCTCATCTAAAACTAAAGCCCAGACTTGAATTAGTACCTTTTTATTTACAGAAAATAAAATAAAATCAGAAAACCTGCCAAATCAGTGCTTGGATATTTCTTAGGGGCCGAAGTAGCAGGGAAAAACAAACTCCTGGGAGTTCTACCATGACAATATAATAATAATAATAATAGTAGTAATAATAGTAATAATAATAATAATAATAATGATAATAATGATAATAATGATAATAATGATAATATTTTTTTAAAAGTAGTTCAGTAGTTAGTTCAGATTAATAAAGTACGCAACTTTGTGGGAGTCCAGAATCAACAATTAACACTGGGTCCTCACATGCAGGAGAACAGGCTTTGGCCAAGACTGGTAGTTTTTGGAATACTCCTTCCCAGCAGATGTATTCATTCTACAAGTCTCAGGTGGGACCAGCAACTTCCTTGGCCTAAAAACTGATGCAATTCCCTCTGCCTTCAATTGCAGTTAAGCTCCCGGGCAACTTTTTTGGATCCATATTACAGTTTCCCCTCTAGCAGGCACAGTAATACTCCTTTTCCAGATAACAATCAAGACAGGGAAGAATAGGAGGCATTTAAATTATCATTCCCCATCACTCCCTGATTTCCCTCCCCAGCTTCCCCACTGCACCCTCTTGCGCAAGCCACTCTGTGCCTTCATAGACACAGAAGAGCTTTAGTCTCTCTCTTTTCAGGGAGGATTTCTGAACTAACCACACGTGGCTGTTTCAACAGCAGCCACGGTAGAAGGGTTAGCACCTTCCCTTCAGAGACGTACTCACAGGACTACCTTGCTGGCTTGTCACACCACCATAGCTTCACAGCAGCCACTCAAAACAAAGCCCTCGGTAAGTAACAGCACAGGGTATGCTTCATATCAAAACTAACCAGTCCAGGAAATCCCCATGTGGGTCTGGGCTGTATGGAACAGAGAATAAAGATAGTTCCCACCCCAAACAATCCAGTTTAGACACTGCACTGGAAATATTTTGAATAGGGCTGCATTTTAAATGCATGTGTAAATGTAGATTCGCTGCTGGAATCTTGAGGAGCAAGATTTCTGAAATGTTATTTCCACAAGGGGTTGAAAGGAGCTGGGTAAGTCACTTTTGGCAGCACTATGAAGCACAATTCTAGGGAAATAACAGGCAAAACAGTTAACAGTTATCATGAGAAAAAGAAGAGTATAAAGAGAACGTGGAATAAAGAGAGGTGTGAGACAAGAAAGCGTTTGCACGCTATCTTAAGAGCGGATATTACAGATTCCTGTTGCGTATCTTTTCAGGGTATTTCAGCAGAAACCTAGCTTAGTGAAGCACGTTAGTGCAGTACTCCTAGCCCCCTCTTCACCCAGCTAGCCATTGGTTCACTTTTGCTTCATACCTATTGCAGAAATGGATCTAGTTAACATAGTTAACATAGTATGCGCCTGATTAGTGAACGGGTCACCACCACCAAACGCTGCAGGATGCTGTCGCAACGCTCCAGCCTGCAAACTGGAAGTACGACACCGTTTGCTAACAAGTTGATAAAGGTTACAGGTCTGGGTACACAACTACCAGGACGTAAGTTAACATGTTCAGCAAGTCAGCTCCACGATTGTAAAAGCATCCATGAAGTCAGGAACAGCACAACACCTGCCTGACAGTAAATTCATCCCATATTCATCTGTCTCGCAATGACTTGCTCAAGTTCTTGTCCCTTACAGAGCTCAGGCTCTGGACAGATGTTCTCGGGAGCAGCTTCCATGCAGTAGCTTTCCTATTCATGCTTACACTCAGCAGCAAAATTTGAGCATTTGTATTTCACTTTGTTTCCCCCAAAAAGGTGGCTCTCCATAGAAATGCTCTGTTCCACAGAAAACATTAAACTGAAGTCAGCATAAATATTAGACCAAGTCTTGATTTAAGATGTCAATGTATAATCGCACCCACATACTCAAAATGTTTACTACTTTCACATGTAAAACACATCCTTCTTTTAAAGCTATAGTTAAAAAAGCAGGGGACAGAGCGGGATGGGTAATCCAACCTACTGTCAAGTAAGCAGACATCAGTCTGACAATTATCTGTCATTTATTCCGACAATAAAGATCAAAGAAAGCAGCTAGGCATCTTTCAGAAGCTTTATTTCATCTCGTAAAGTGACACATATAAAGCTTTACTGCTTAAATAGCAATGCGCCCTACAATCCTAAAATATTTTGTCAAAGTGTACAACCTCTTCCAGCAGATCTCTGAGACTAATCTACAGACTTGTAGCTATCACTGTGCCTCTACACTTTCCTTTTTCTCAGACGTCATGAGCATGTTTACACAATAGATTTTGCTATACCCCCCTGCCTGACGCATCCTAGCATACATTAGCAAGTTTATGAGTCTGCCCTGTAGTTGTTTTCAATTCTAGTCTATTTTTACTACATGTTTCTCAGTCTGCGTTAAGACTGGTTAGTAAAAGTAATGTTAAACTTTTTCTTCATGAGACAATTTGCCTACGCAGCAACGCACATGCATTGCAATGAACCACATTACGCAACAGGGCAGTCAACAGATTTAATGGATATGCCAACGCTCACAGCCACATGTGCCCATCCTAAATGGGACTGGGATCAAATACATTTATAGTCATCCTTGCTTGAAAAGGATGAAAAAAAACAAGAAGGAAAACTCTCCATTTTCTCCACAATTCAGATGCGCTGCAATTACTAGTACAGAAGAGTTTTGCTTAAAGTATTAAATGCTCTTACTCTTATTTTCTCTCTTATGGCCTTTGAAAAATATTTTTCACAACTCTACTGCTTTATAAATCCATAACTATGACTGAAGCTGATCAACTGTAAATAAAGATTTAGTCATAAGTTTACCACAACATGGAAATTTTTCTTAAGTTGCTTTAACTAGAAGAAAAGCTATTAAATGAACTACACATTATTACATTTGATTTTAGTTCTCAGTCTCACCAAAATCTCAAGAAAGGATAATTGGATTTGGCCCCTTCGAAAGATTTTAAAAGGGTTTCCATCTAACCTTCTTCCCCCATTATTCTGCCAGTTAAATTAGACCAAAAAAGGCCCACCAGACAGCTTTAGTCTGCAACTACGACCATGAACAAAACCAACATGCTGCAAGTAATTATGTATTGGAACACAAGCATTGGATTTTCGTTTGTTTTGGAGGAAAGAATCAGGAGAAAGAATCACTCCAATCTATCACAGGATTGTTGGAAACTGTATGTCACCCACATTTTAAGGTCACCTGTAAGATACACTAAGACTAAGCCTCTGCATCATGAAGCAAGGCCGGCATAAGTTCTTGCTCATTCAACTGCGAGAAGTTCTTCACGCAGCAGAGAACAGACAACTTCCCTATCAAGCTTAAGACTGACAATCGGCTCCTCTACACATGTGCTGCCGTTGCTAAGACAGAGCAGGCAGGAGGGGATCTAGCACACACTGTCTCCCTTTTCATTGTACGTTTACACTGAAAGTGACCTTTCTCCCTTTTTCTATATATGAAAATTAAATAGAGGAGATTAAGGGACCCTCTGTCAGAGCCAGGATTAGAACAGGCAGGATCCCAACTCAGCTCCTGTACTTCCTCAGTCCATACTACTTCACTAGACTGGTTCCGTTCACATACACATACCGCCAAAACTATCCACAACACAAAGGTGTAGAAAAGTGCTAATGAACTTAACTCAGAGAATTTTGTATTTTACGGGAATTTTAATTTTCTTTAAAACAATACTTAACATCAGTAAGACAGATAGTGTGTTGGGATACCAATGCTGGGGAAGTGAAAACAAGAACTCAAAAACCACATCCTAAGCACAATCATGCATAGCCACTTCCTCTCCCCTTCAGACATAAACTGTAGATTAGCTGGAAAGTCACCTTCCCATTTGGTGAAGATCCAGCTTGAAAACCATTTTTGTTCTGAAATAGAAGGAAAAACTAAGACTCTAAATTTCTGGATTGGGAATTCAAAAGCTTAGTTCAGCAAGGCTGAACGACATTTCATTTCAACTGTCTCGGTGTTTACGAGCCACCCCAAAGTACCTGGAGCTCTGACAAGCAAGGCAGGCAGAGAGCCAGAGAGCTCATGGCGTCTGGGAGCCTCAACTTCAAAGCAGCCAGCCTTGGCAATGTGCCTAGAGCCACAAACCCAGGCTACCAGAGAAGCAGGGATCCAGAAGCCTGAACTTTGAGCTTCCGATCAGCTCTGAAGCTGAGCTGCTGAGGAGCTAGACAAGTGAGCTAGCACTGGGGAAAGGGGGGGAACAAAGAAAAAAAGGTGCATTTCCCATCCAAATTTCATCGTGGCAGTTACACGATTATACTTCCAGGAATACTTCCAACTAGCCAAATCGAAGTTTTCCAACAGCCATTAGAGAAAAGGGCATATCTTGCCCACAGGTGTGACTTCTGGAAATAAAAGTAGAATTGAAATGAACAGCAAAAAAAAAATCTTCCCTCAACCTTAGCTCAGCAAAACAGAAAAAGCTGACGTTTCTGTTAAAAGCTACATGCAAAAGACGTTTCAGAGCGATTTTTGCAGGGTAAATACATCTTCTGTTGTTCTCACGAGGCCTTTACAGACACACATCCCTTCCAGGATAGCAAAGGCCTCGCACACATCACCATCCCACTGCGTCAGTGATCACGGACAGGTTTCGGACCTCTTCTTGGGGTTTTCAGGCAGAAAAAAAAAAGTCTTTGGGAAAACACGACCTGAGCCAAAAGCCTGAGGAAAAGCAATAGTGCCTCTGTAGAGCTGAAAGCCCTGCCTATGCTGGCTCTCCCAGTTCTACAGCCGGACCTACCACATCACCTTGCCGTGACATGGCAGCAGCAGAGGCTGGGGTGCGTGCAGGAAAGGTTATTTTCTCCTTCCAAGACGCTTTAACCCATTTGATTTCGCTTGGAGAGGCCTCTCGGGCCAAGACCCCCCGTAAGGGACCCGCCGTGGGCAGACCTGAGCCCAGCCGCGGGAGAAGCGAGCAGGGGGCAGCGGAGGCCGCGGGGGACAGAGAAGCCCCCCCCTCCCCCCGAGTGCCCGGGGCCCGCGGGGCGGAGGGCAGGGCGGTCACTCACGGAACTTGGAGGTCGAGGCGTTGATGTTGATGGCGGCGGCGATGGCTCCGGCTCCCCCCTTGCCCCCGGCGCTCCCCGGCTCGCAGCCTCGCAGCACCCCGTTGGCCTCGGGCACCGCGGGGAGCTCCGGCCCGGCCGGGGGCCCGGCGGCGGGGCCGCGCAGGAGGCGGTCACCGAGCGGCACCGCGGCGGGGCCCAGCAGGGGCCGCCCGGAGGCGCCGGG